AAGCTTTATTGAGATATGAAAAAATATCACAAGGTAAGCAACATAAATAATAATATTTACAAATTTAAGGGAAATAACTCTGTGAAACGTGGTTCATGAACGTCGCCCGGCCTGAAAGATGAAAATAAGAAAGTATAAAGAGATTGTTGACAGTAATAATGGATACATCTATTTAGATAAGCAATGGAATCAGTCTCTTGGCAATTTCCAAGTGATGGTGTAGCCGTGTGGGGCCCAAGGACCAGATTAACGGTTATAAACTGAGAGGAAGCATAGTTTCCTATTGATTTATATTTCATCCTCTAATTATCAAGTTGGCATGAATCGGCAAACTAAAATTTTTACACAAGCAACCTTAGGGTTGGTCGAAGATTTGGACTATAAAGCAACTGGACGAAGGATGTAAAAAACGAAAGAAATAAGCTCTCTGGAGATTTCAAAAAATGGAAAGCTCATGAATTCAAGGGTTTCTGTTAATCTGATAAGGATGAAGGTGCCCTTTAGGCAGGATGCGAGACAATTCTTGGTTTAGCAAGCAAGTGAAATAAGTAAGTAAACAAAAGTAAAACATGACTACACAATACAGCTCTAAATTCATTTATCTCGCACGTACGCATGTGGAGATATGTCAAAAGCACAATATCTACCACAAGATCCGATTAGGCTATCGGAAAAGAAAAATGAATAAAGCCTTCATATTTATTGTGTGATCACAATGCTGAGCGAGTTGTCCAATATGGCCACGAGTTCTTGGATCCTCAAGTCAGCAAATTCGGAGATGAATAGACGAAGTTATTACTCTATTTCTTACGTTTTGCAATGCATAAGACCGGCCCTCGGGAGTGGTATCTACCAGCCTGACAGAGGAATTCAGTCCGCATCTGAAAGTGAGGCTAGAGATGAACAAGAACCGACAAGAGAGGGCGAAATAGGGTCAGAACTGGAGGACTCTTCACTGGCGACCAGTGGCGGTCGAGCGGACTGCGTTCGCCGGGTCACTATGGCTGCTGTTGTGCTGTACAAAAGTCGTCGAGCCGCGGAATCATTTGCTCGTGAGCCGATTAGCACATCGAAGCTCGTCGAAGTCGCTGCCGCCTGCTCAGGCTCGACTCCTAACGCATTCACTGGACTGCCGCCACGAGGAGAAGCATCGCCGTCAGTCGACGTTGTCAGGCCAGCAGAGTGCTGGAGGACTGATGAGGACAGAAGATGGATGGAATCTCCAGTGAACTCGATGTTCCCGGTTTCAGGACGTGCGAGATATCCAGAAGGAAGTTGCCGTGGGGACGGCCAAAAAGTGGATTTGGCTGAATCACCTATCGGCCAGAGAAAATGGACAAAGATAAGGGACAAGAAAAAGAGACAATGGACGAACTTAGTGGTGACGAGAGTGCCAAGACGATATAGATACTCTCTACCAAAGTCTTTATGCTCTTGAACTGTTGAAGTGCTCTGTCATAGAGCAAACAGACAAACTAATAGACCGCTGAATAAGATAGTGACAGTGGCAAAGACCATGTATACAGCCTCCTTCGGAAGTGGAGTCATCACTGATTAATTAGGGCTGCCAGCTGAAGACAACAATTGAGACGAAGCAAATATATTCCATCTCAATATACATTTTCTTCCTATTCAATACTAGGGTCTGATTGGCAAGTTAGTGGGGTGCACCCTGTGGGCATGCATGTTCAAAGGATTGGAGGACAGAAAAGAACATGGGTTAGGCCGTGGAATGTGTGAATGGAGGATAAAATAACGTAGGGTTTGTAATATATCCTGCCTCGTTTTCGCAATTTGGCCGCATTGTCAAGGTGACCTTGCGGCCACCAAGACCTTGGCCTGACTCCCCTGTCATAGCAGTCATGGTAATTTGCAACGTTGTACCTTAGATGTTTCGTCTGCATCTTAGTCGGAACCGTCACTGAATTTTACAGGTTTTAGAAAAGCTACAACATGTCAAAGAGATAATTAAAGTCCATCTATTGACCAACTTTCTGCTGAACGGATTTGGTATCTCTCATCTTACTTAAGTCAATCTCGAGCCTTCTGAAATTATAAGCCTGAGATAAGCTTAAAATGATGATAAAGTCTATCATATAAAAGATAAAAATAGCAAGTTTTCGCCTTACTCTAAAGAGGGTGTCCCTACAACTGCGTCAACCTAAACATCTCAATAAAGACAAAGGAAATAAAAACAAGGAGAACCAGCCACCTTCATTTTACACCTTCACTCGAAATGAAGGCGAGAAAATAATTCAAATTATTTATATACAAAGAAAATGCGGGTTTTGAAGAATATCCTGAGATAATATTGACTTGAAGACTTTCATTTCGTATGGAAGTAGATGATGAAAAGATTCGTAGGAAGATCTAAGCAGAAGACATCGGCTGATTCACGTTGTAATGCAGCCGTTTGACATTAATACGACGTTCAGGTTAATGCAGTCCACAAGAAAGTTTATTGACTTAGTAATAAGTATGTCTGCGAACTCGGAATCCACGCCTGTTATGAAGTCGACTATTCACAGTTAAAAATACGTAGAGAAGCTGGGTTTCGAGTAATCTCCTGAGATAATATTGTTGGAGATACCTTTATTTTGTATGAGAGTGCATGAAGAAGAGATTCGCAGATTGATCTCACCAGAAGACGACGGCTGAATCCCGTTGTATTGAAGACGTTTGGCTTTAATACGATGTTCAGGTTGACGCAGTTTACCAAACATCCTCCCTCGTGAAAACGAGCTTAGCTTTCGTCCAGCATATGGTGGACATCGTCAGAGCTGTAACTCATTCTTGTAGAAGTCTAACATTAACATTAAGTCAAGAAGACTATCCGGCTCTATCTTACCTCGTTATATATGTTCATAGCTAAAAACGAAAATGAAAAGGCATGGGCAGATTTAGGAAGAAGGCGACTCAACTTGTTCGCTCAGTGATGGTTCTATCCTTACTCACACTCATCCAACATGCTAGATTAAGCTCATCAAACAAACAAGATGTACCAGATTACGCAGCCCTAGTCATGCTTTCACTTGGGTTGTTAAACTTTAATGACCCTAGACTTAGAGGTAAGGAAAAGTTGGGCTTTTTCTTGGGCCATTAAGCCTTGACGACCAGAGCCTGACATTAGCCATTTTTGGTCACTCTGCTTTATGACCGGTACTGCGTATAAACATTAACACATACCCACATACATACACCCTGGAGCAAGAGTAGCAGGAATAGTAGGAAAGATAATTAATCAAACCGTCCTACATCTATCTATGCCTATTCATTTTCGTTTTTATTTATGAGTATATATACAAAATAAAATAGAGCCGGATAGTCTTCTCGACCGAGTGTTAGCGTGAGACTTTTACAAGAATGGGTTCCAGCTCTGATGATAGCTATCATATGATGGACGAAAGTTCAGCCGGCTTTCACCCGAAGCGAGGGAGGATGTCTCGCGGACTGCGTCAACCTAAACGTCGTATTAAAGTCAAACGGCTTCAGTACAACGTAATTCAGCCGTCGTCTTTTGGTGAGATCAACCTACGCGATCCATGTACTTTAATACAAAACAT